ATGTTTCGCACGCACAAAAATAACAGATGAAGTTATGATGTATATGAGCATGACAAAATCAGAATCAGAGTACCATATATCTCATGGATTTTTAATACCAATATCTCGAATAACAAACACTTCCAAAATAGAATTTCCATTATGTCAAGTCCAAGGGAAGATTACCAATAATATTTAACAGAATACAAATCCAAAGGCACATGTGAGCAACAAATTCAAAATATCATGCACTAGCTAATAGTCACAAGAGGCTTAGCCACCTAACACTTACCTCGATGTGTCCAACTTTTAAACCAAGTGTATCACCAAAAATTCAGTCCATTCTCTTAAGAATTACGCACACCTAAACAACGGATACCAAGTTAGAATTCCACGGTATTTTTCCTACCAAATGCACGAAATTTCCATGCTGCCTATTCTTGTATTTTACTCGATTTACCATGCTTCCAAAGCTAATGGTTTTCTGCCTTAATTTATTCTATCAATTGCTAGCAAGTAACAAACAATTTCCCAAGATAACCTACACATGCAAGTTCGGTTTTGGTCAAAAACTAGGGGCATATAATTTATCTATTTACAAAATATTTTCTATAAAGCTTAGGTGTGAGTGAACAAGGTCTTTAGCAAACTGTCCATACAGTTTTAATACATGCCAGGTTTAACCAAATTTTCAAATCCAAGGACTGGTCTAACAACATTAGGGGAGCTATTTTTCAAGTTCACAAAATTCGATTTTAGCTTACATGCATTGTAACATCCCGCCTAATTAGGAACCTATTTAAATTGCAATTAAGAATGTGGTAGAGTACTGGCCTTCAGATTACATAAATGCTTACTCTAGGATGGAGTAATTTAAATTAGGGAATTATTGGTGTGAACATGGAAGGTGAGTACCTATTTTATGCATGTGAAATTCTAGTTATGAGTGTAGGAATAATTTAATTAAAATACAAAAAAAGCATAACACTACTTAGTATTTTACGAGTACCCATTTAAAAGTATGTGATTAATTTTTGTTACAAAGAATAAAACCATAGTTAGTAATTGTAGGGTACATGAAATAATAATGCATGGGTGACTTGCGAATTATATGACTATTTTCCCTAGGGTGGAATTAAAGTGAGTTAGAGAGTTATTTAAATTACTATGATAGGAGAGTACCTATGTAGGCAGGTGAACCTTATAGTAAATTAAATTTAATTTGAATAATTTTATTATAATATATAGAATGTTTAATAATATTCAAAAGACATGGGAAATTAATGAATTAGTGGGCTGGTCACATGTAAGTATAACCTTTGAACTTAGGTAATTTTGGATCACCCCATGCATTTATCTTAACCTTATCCTAAATAAATCTACAAAAGGTGCCATGCATTGGTGAGTGATCACACATGGCAAAACCTCATCTACTTTTGTACCCCTTATTCTATGCGCCTAGGGTGGGGGAAAAGTAAACTGATTGCTTGTGATTCTAACTAAACTCAATTAGCCCCTCAAGCATGCAACCAATTAGGAAATATGAATAAGCTTGCATTAAGTCCATTGGCCAAAAATCACACTTTCTTATCCTCTTGTTCCTTTGGAGCGCTTAGGGTGTGTGATATAGTGTAATTTTGGTTCTTGTTATTATGTTACTAACCTCCAAACCCTTATCTGTTCTTCCCCAGCGCTGTATGAGTAGAGATAAAAGTTGAACGTTAATTTTATAATTAGAAGTAAGAATTGACCCTTCTCACTCTCATTTGGTCGTGCACCTCCCTAGTGAGAAACACACAGGAAAGCTTCAAACACTTCACATTATCCTCAATTACTCTCCAAAGAAAACGTAAACCCCAAAAGGAAAGAATACAACGAAACACTATTCCCTCTTCCTACTCCTTTCAGCCGCGAGCCCAAGAGCTGGGAGTCAAACGTTTAAAGTCTCTTTCCCTTCGATTTTTCTAGCTGGTCGGACCTCACCTTGAAACAAGGTAAGGTGTTCCCTTCATCCCTTCCCCTGCACCTGTTGTACAACTTTGATAGAACCACTTCTTGATGTGCAGGTAGCTAGAGTCCGAAGCTTGGAGCTTAAGAAGGCCTAGGTGGTAGTTCGCTGCTCCTGCCTTGTCGGTTGGGATTTTATTTTATTTACTCTAGAGGTGAGTCGATCCTCCTTACACTCTCAACCCCTTATGTTTCGACTTTCATGGGTATCTTAGGAGAAATATAATTCTGTCATTTGCACTTTTTGGTCGTTGAGGGTGGTAGCTTAAATTAGTCACTCATTCTCTTCAATTCTATTTTTGAATGACCTTAGGACTAGCTGCATATCGGTTTTAAATGGATGTTGTAAATTTGAATAATGATCTTCCTATTGGTGTTGAACTACCCTTGGATTGGAGACTTGATCAAGTTGGTAGAAAATGTTGAGTACGTGAATAAATTTTGTGCCTAAATCGTGGCCTAAAATCGTATTGCAAGTGTGTGTGTGTAGGGGAAGCTTTTGTCCAATTATGTTTCCATTCTGCCATGTTTTAACCAGTTTGAGCTTGGAGCTTACCAACACCTTGGGTTGTTGTAGTATGTAAAATAAAGCCTCCACGGTTAGGTTGCTAGGCTGTTTGCTATGCTAAAGAGGAAAATAATGAACCTTCACATAATTAAATTGAGTGGGCAGCACATTACAAGTAAATTGAATCCTACATGAACCAAGCAAATAATGTATTTAAATGAAAAGTGTGGGTTACTAGAGAATGGTTCTCAAATCCGATTCTGCATGCTTGTGAAACTTTAGAGACTTTGTTTTGCTAGCAATTGTTGGCACAAAATTTAGGCAGTGAACTATTAGTTTTCGGTGCCTAATAAATCGAATAAAATACAAGAATAGGAAGAATGGAAATGACTTGGAAATTATGAGATCAATATGAATTCTTCATTGTTAACGTATTGGGGTATTAACTAGAAGTCAGAAAATTTGGTTAGTGGAATTGTCATGAAAATCGAATTGGTGTATGTTGGGGACTTAGGATTTTATTATGGTAATATGTTATTAATTAATGGGAAGGCAGAAATTGGTGAGCACAAGAAGCATGGTACTCGAATGAAATGTAAGAATAAAGAGGCATAGGAATTTCTTATAAATAATAGGTAATATGAATAAAGTTCTGACTTATCGTACCATTGATTAGGTGCGCGTAATTATTAAAGTGTGGGCTGGTTTTGGTGCCGTTGATTATTGCGTGGACACAAGGTAAGTGTCTGGCGGTATTAACTCTTGTGACTGCTAGCTAATACATGAATTGTGAACGTTGCTCTCATGTGCCTTGGTCCTGAATTTTGTATATGTTAATTGAATTATGCTCATGGTCTTGCTTTGCTAAATATTTTGTTTTGGAGAATTATTGGTTATTTAGCACTCGAATATTGGAAAATCCATGAGACATATGATATCTTGATTATTATCTAGTCATGCATACACATTCCATGATTTTAATTGCGTGTTTGTGTGCGAACCATGTCATAGCATACATGCATAAGTTTCACGTTGACATCTGAATATAAATATTAAAAATAAGCATACGATTGAGCACGCATCATATAGGCATCCCTGCGGTACCAGGGTATGGGACACTTGGCTTCAGTCCATTTAGGTTACAATTGGAACCCTCCGAGGAGCCATTAAGGGAGGGACCTCCACTATACTTGTGTGTACAGGCACGACGGTGCTGTACATTTTAGGCGTTATATACGCATCTTGACTAGTATATTTGGCGTTATATACGCATCTTGATTAGTATATTTGGCGTTATATACGCAATATGATAAAGTTTAGTATCTGCAGGATTCAACCACGTACCCAAGCTTCAAACAGAAAAGAGAGATGCTCTTGAAGCTCACTACCAACACCAAAGGTTCTGACTTCACCAAGAAAACGAAAATGAACTCAAATGTGGTTTCTTTGCACTCAAAGATCACTCATTGGTGCTCCAAATGCCATAGCAAAGGCTCCAACAACACAATTAACCAAGTCAGCACTCAAGGTTCCTCAAAATAGTCTCCAACTCAGAAAATGACTGCCCTTTTCACTCACAAGCTCACCCTCACTCCAACCAAGTGTTTAGATGATATAAAAAGAGAAGAAAAGGTGAAGACTTCACACAAAACCAAGCAAGAATGACCAAGAATGAAGGTGGCAGCAAGGAGAGCTCACACACCAGCAAAAGTCACGTAGGAGGCTGAAGAGTCTAGGGTTTTGTGCCCATAATAAGGGTATTTATAGCCACTTACTCATTAAACACACAATATTAACTTTAATTGCTACGCTTAGTGTAACATCTCGTCTAATTAGGAACCCATTTAAAGTGCAATTAGGAATGTGGTAGAGAACTTGCCTTTAAATTAAATAAATGTTGCCTTAGAATGGAGTTAAATTAAATTAGGGAAATTATTTGTATTACCATGGAAGGTGAATACCTATTTTATGCTTGTGAAATTCTAGTTATGAGTATAGGAATAATTTAATTATAATATACAGGAAGCATGACACTACTTGAAATTATATGAGTACTCATTAAAAGTGTGCTATTAATTTTGTTTCAAAGAGTAAACCCTTAGTTATTAATTGGAGGGTACATAAAATAATATACATGAGTTAATTATTAAGATAGGAGAGCATTGGATTTATATGTTTGGGCCCCATTTCATGTGATGGGCTACGGCCCAAAATGCTTTTTGAATTTAGCCCAACACTCTCATCCATCTTAACCTTATCCAAAGATCTTTCAAGGCTGTCCATGATTGGTTTAAGATCTACACATGGCAACTAATATCACAAACCTCTTGCATGCGTGACACCTAGCCCTTTTATTCCCTTACATGACCGCCACATGTTTTGACTAAAGAAAATGGATGTCCGCAATAAAACTTGAAACTCTCTTGCATGAACGACACATGGCCTCTAATTCTTTTCATGTGTGTCTCATACTCCTCCCTGCATGTCCGCCACATTCACACCAAAATGGACAATGAACTTTCTCCTTTAGGGTCGGCCAAGCCCTCTTGGTGACCGAGAAATCAATGCTTAATATTTCAAAGGCTGAAACTCTATCTCATCTACTACACCCTCCACCTTGAGCTCCTTAGGCAGGGAACAAATTGTTTAGCATTTCATCTCCCCTTTTTTCTAGTTGGCCGGACCACATTTAGCAACAAGAACTTGAAACCGTGAAGTTTAAAGAGGTGTGACAGCTTCATTACCCTCTTGTTCCCTCTTTTCCCTTCGGCCGTACACCAACAAACAAAGGGCTATGGTAGTACCTTCCTTTTCCCTTGCATGCAACTGAATTCATGTCTTGGAAGCTCAGGAACCAGTAAAGGGAGGTGCTTTGTTCGATTGGAAAGCATGGGTGGTAGTCAAGAAGGTAACCAACTTAAACCAAAAACTCATCACCCCTTTCTGTTTCGGTTTTGGGGGCAGGCTAGGAGAATGTATGTCTTGCTTTCAAACTACTTTTATATTTTGCTGGACTGTTTTGGTGGACCTTCTATTGTGCCAAGTCCTACTTAAATTCTAAAAAGACAGCATGCTGTAGGAATGCTTTTAGCGCACCTTGATGTTAGTGGGAGTTGGCTTGAGTATAGATTGTTTATCACTCTTTTGTCTTGCCCTCATATTCGGCCATCCCATGTAGAATCAGAAAGTATTTTCCTTTGGCTTTTTCATTCATCAATTCTGCCCTTGTTGACCGATTTAGACTTATCTCTTAATCACTCAGAGAATTGTTTTTGAAACTTGGAAGTAGCTCTCTTGCGTAAATTGTTTTTCTGTTTTGGTGAGCCTTAACATGTACCATGTTTGATTGAGTATACAACATGTAGTTAAGCCTTCCTCCACTCAACCATGGCCTTGTTGAGTTAAAATTTTAAATGTCATGTACCCCCTACATACTAAAACCGATTCTTTTTTGATTTAGTCATTGGAATTCCTCACTGTTAGTTAGGGGATAATTTATTGGAAACCAGAAAATTGTGTAGGAAAGATCTATGAAGGCCGAATGGGTACAAGAGTCCCTTAGCACGGGAACTTGTGGGTAACTTATAGACAAAAAAACAGGCATTTAGCGGCGGTTCATTTTTGGTATAGGGGCGGTTGTAACCGTCGCGTATACCAAAAATGAACCGCCGCAAAATGCCTGTTTTTTTGTAGTATGGAACGTATTCTAATTGATTATACTTGTGTATAGGTGCGCATATTTTGTGAGTTATGGACTGATTCGCAGCTGTTTGGTAAATTATTTTGTGGAACGCGAGGTATGTGTTAGGTAGTTAAACCTATTGTGACTATTAATTTAGATCATGGAATTTTTGATTTGTTGCTCTCATGTTTCCGTAACAAAATTATGTTTGAAAGCATGTGAAATCTGATTTGAATATGATTGGAGGAAAATTCTGTTTTGTATACACATGCTAATTGAAAGTGTGGTGTCATAGTCTTTGTGAACTATGACTTATGATGACGAAGAATGATGATGAGCATGAACATCATAATTTTGCATTTTGTCATGTGTGTGAAGCAAAACATAGCATCTCATGCATCCATTTACATACAGTATTGGAAACAGAAATATTTTATGAAACTAAGCATATGATTGAGCACGCATCATATAGGCATCCCTCAGGTACCAGAGACAGGGACACTTGGCTTCAGTCCGCATAGGTCACAGTTGGAATTCACTTTTGATGGGAGCCAAATATGGAATATCCACTGTACTAACAGTTTGTACGTGCACTGCAGCTATGAACGTACAAACTACTGGCGTTATATACGCAACTTGATTAGTATTCTGGCGTTATATACGTACTCTGATGATATTTTAATATCTGTTCGGAATGTATTTGATGATGTGACAATGTTGAAAATTCTGGTTTTAAATTAATATTGTTGCAATACTGGATTTTCTGCCACACTACTGGGATTTTTCTCACCCCTTTGGGGTTGCTATTTTTATAAAATGGCAGGAGGACGGAAGAGCATTTGAAGACATAATTATATGGACGTTTTGCTGTTATGTGCTGCTGTTTGAACAATTGTTGTTACTGTTTCATTGTTTGGATGACTGTACTCATCTGAGAAGTTGGATTATTTTTAACGCATGATTTAGCTACTGTTTTGAGACTTTCTAATCAGTTAGCACCTTGGATAATTCTGAAAAATGTTTTGTGAAAATAATTCCTGAACCTTTATTTTAAGGGCTGTTTTTTTTTAGAAAACTGATTTTGCGAGCACTTTGCAAGTTGTCGTTCTGGGGCTACAGACCTCTGAATGAGTCATAATTTATATGCACGTAAAGCCCCAGATGTGTACTTTCAGATTATGTACAAATTATGTTCAAACTATGTAAGCACGATTTATTATGAATTTTGCAAGTCAGCAGGTTTTTAGAAAAATGTACTGAATTCACAAGCACCTCCCGAGTTCTGTTTTGTGGGACTATTCACATCCGAATCGCTTATAATTTATATATACGCGAAGCCCCGGATGTCTAGTTTCTCCGTAGCATTAAATATTTTTTTAAACTGCTGAACTCGATTTTATACAGATTTTATAAGACAGCAAGGTTTTCTGAAAAGTTTAGAAATTTCCGCAAGCAGTTTATTCTTGAAATTACCACTGTTTCATAAGCAATTTAATTTCACTCTAAGGTTTCTAATTAAGAATCAAACTGAAAGTTTTAAGTGGGTAAGCCTTAAATTTTTTCGCAACATTATAATTAAGTTTTTGAAAATTTGAGTTCTTTACCGCTGCGACTCTAATACGATTTAGAAAACAACTCTCTTGGATGCATACAAGGGAGGGTGTTACACTTAGCATTTTAATCCCAAACTTTGGATTCTTAACCTACTCAATTTTACAAGAATTAACATATTTTTATTATATTTTTCGGAGCACCTTTCCGGTACGCGCTTTTCATAGCCAGTATTAGTTTTTGGCACCAGTTCTCATTATATTGACTTGAAACTCGTTTTACAATTCTTATGTATTATTCTAGTAATTATCATGCACTTATTATAATTTTTTGGGTTACTTTTTCGGTACGCATTTATACCGACTAGCAGAACCGGTATCTGCACTTTTCTTCCGAAAAGCGACTTTCAGCCTTCTTAATCACTTATCATAATTATTAAAGCCTCTTAATAATTATTAGGGTCAATTATGGAATCATTTCCCAATTTAACATAATTAATTATTTAATTTCCTTAATTAACGGTGCGGGTTCTTACATTCACCCCACCTTTTTAGGATTTTGTCCTCAAAATCAGAAAACATACCTGTCTCGAAACTCGGGGTACTGCCGGAGAAGCTCTTCCTCACGCTCCCAAGTACACTCCTCAGGAGTCCTTTCAGTCCATTGCACTTTGACCATCGGAATGATCTTGCTCCTCAGCTGCTTCTCGCCACGATCGAGAATCTTAAGTGGTCCGACAAGAGTCTTTAGGTTCTCCTGAACCTCTATAGCATCAGGTTGCACCACGTGTGAAGGATCTGCTATATACTTCCGAAGTTGAGACACGTGAAACACGTCGTGGATGTTGGCCAAGTTCGGAGGCAAGGCAAGCCGGTAAGCAACAGGTCCTACTCTACCAAGAATCTGGTATGGCCCAATATATCGCGAGCTCAGCTTCCTCACTCTGTGTCTCACAAACACGTGCTCACCCTTACTGAACTCCAGTGGACGATCTTAACATCATAGTAGCTCTTCTGGCGATTCTGCGCCTGCTTCAACTTTTCACGGATCATCTGGATCTGCTGGGTGGTATCTTGGACAAAGTCGAAGCCAAAAAGCTCCATGTCCCCAACCTCAGACCAACAAGTAGGAGCCCGACACCTCCTACCATACAGTGCTTCGTAGGGCGCCATGCCCAGGCTAGCATGAAAGTTGTTGTTGTAAGAAAACTCAACCAACGAAAGGTACCTATCCCATGCCGAGCCTTGCTCCAACGTGCAAGCTCGCAACATGTCCTCCAAGGTCTGGATGGTCCTCTGAGTCTGTCCATCAGTCTGAGGGTGATAGGCGGTACTCAATCTCAACTGCGTACCAAAAGCCTCCTGCAGCGCCTCCCAGAACCGAGATGTGAACTTCGGGTCCCTATCCCTGATGATACTCTCGGGCACCCCGTGAAGCCTCACAATCTCGCGAACAAAAAGCTTCGCCAACTGCTCTGTAGTGAAGCTCACCTTCACTGGAAGAAAATGGGCAGACTTCGTCAGTCTGTCCACAATGACCCAGAAGTCCATGGAAATACTTCCACTGTGGTACTTCAAGAGGTTGAAGTTCACCAGACGGTCTCGGATGTTCAATCTTCTCCTTCTGGCAAACCAAACACTTGGACACAAAGACATCAACATCTTTCTTCATGCCCGGCCACCAGAAGATCTTCTTCAGGTCTTGATACATCTTAGTAGCACCAGGGTGGATAGAAAATTAGCCTTTATGGGCCTCTACCATAACCTCATTGGTCAACAAGCCTCGAGGAACCACGATCCTCTGCTGAAACAAAAGAAGTCCATCATCACTCAAAGACACACCGTCTTGGTTCTTCACATAATCCAGACACTCTCTCTGAACTTGTGCCTCTTTGATCTTCCCTAACAGTTCATTCACAACGTCTGCTGCTTCCATCTCAAGAAGTGCACTCCCACAAGGAGCGGTCACTGTCAGGTCTCGGAACTTCTCAACCACATCAAGAAAACCAAGCAACAAGCTGGATGAGCTCCTGGGTTTCCGGCTCAAAGCATCAGCTACCACATTGGCCTTGCCAGGATGGTACTTCAACTCAAAGTCGTAATCCTTTATAAACTCCATCCATCTCCTCTGCCTCATGTTCAGCTCTTTCTGGTCGAAAAGATACTTCAAACTCTTGTGGTTACTGAACACCACAAACCTCAAACCAAAAAGATAATGCCTCCAAATCTTGAAAGCAAAGATAATAGCAGCCAACTCCAAGTCATGAGTAGGGTAGTTCTCCTCATGAGGTTTCAGCTGCCTCGAAGCATAGGCAATCACTTTGCCCAACTACATCAACACACAACCTAGCCCCTTCCCGGAGGCGTCGGTGTAAAGCTCAATCTCAAGCGCAGGATCAGGAAGGACCAACACAGGTGCAGTAGTCAGTCTTTCCTTCAACAACTGAAAACAGACCTCACACTCGTGAGTTCACACAAATGGAGTCTCCTTTCGGGTAAGATGAGTCAAAGGGAGAACCATCGTGGAGAAACCCTTGATGAACCTCCGATAGTAACCTGCCAAACCCAGAAAGCTCCTCACTTTCGTAACTATCTTGGGCCTCTCCCAATCCAGTACGGCTTCGATCTTGTTCGAATCCACTGCAACTCCTTCAGCAGAAATAACATGCCCAAGGAACTTCACAGACTTGAGCCAAAACTCACACTTGGAAGGCTTCGCATACAGCTTCTTCTCCTTCAGCACTTGCAGAACAGTTCTCAAATGCTCCACATACTCCTCCTCCGTCTTGGAGTAAATCAAAATATCGTCAATGAAGACGATCACAAACTGATCCAGGTACGGCTGGAAAATCCGATTCATGTAATCCATGAACACAGCAGGTGCATTGGTGAGTCCAAACGGAATCACCAAATACTCAAAGTTACCGTATCTCGAACGGAATGCGGTCTTCAGGACATCATCCGGCTTCACCCGAATCTGATGGTATCCGGACCGGAGATCAATCTTGGAATACACACAAGCACCTATGAGCTGATCCAACAGATCATCAATCCGAGGAAGGGGATACTTGTTCTTGATCGTCACCTTATTCAGCTTCCTGTAGTCGATGCACAATCGCATTGTCCCGTCCTTCTTCTTCACAAAAATGACCGGTGCTCCCCAAGGAGACGCACTCGATCTAATGAAATCTTTCGCTGAAAGATCCTCAATATGCTTCTTCAGCTCTGCCAACTCCGGTGGCGACATCCGGTATGGAGCTAATGAAATAGGCTCCACACCAGGCAACAGATCAATGGAGAACTCTATCTCCCTCTGTGGCGGAAACTCAGGAATCTCCTCAGGAAACACCTCGAGGAATTCCCTCACCACAGGAATGCCAGTGATATCCTCCTGTGTCCCACTCACCAAACCTTCCAACATGACATATCCATATGCCCCTGCTCTCAAGGCTCTCCTAGAACTGCAGCAACGAAATGTACGGCGAGGAACTAGCTGTGGAATCACACGGAGACATCACCACACGCTTGGCACAACAGTAAATCAATGCACAAGTTTTGGACAGCCAATCCATACCCAGAATAACCTCCAAGTTGGCCATCGGCAATCCTATCAGATCTACCGAGAACTCACGACCCTCCCACTGAAATGCTACATCGCGATGAACAGTGGTCGCATCACACTTTTCTCCGGTGGCGGTGGTCACCTGCAACGGTGGAGAAAGCACAGACATGGGCAACTCAAGCCCCACAGCAATCGGGGTAGCAACAAACGAATGCGTAGCCCCAGAGTCAAACAAGACATCAACAGATGATGCACCAAAAGTAGCAGTACCTCTAACAAGGTTTGGAGCTCGGTCCGACTACTGACGATCTAGAGTATAAACTCTCCCAAAGATGGTTGCACTGCCGGTGCTAAAGTAGGTGGAAGGGGAACCATCTGAAGTGGCAATGCCTGCACTGCAGTAGCCTCGCCGTCGCCGACGGACCCTCTCTGGAGAAGTGGCCCTCCTTGCCACACAGAAAGCAAATCAACTGGCCGGTGGAACACGGCCCAAAATGAGTCTTCCCGCATCCCGAACACCTGGGAGCAGGAGGTCTCGTTGCGCTCTCCTGAGCAGAAGTCCTCTTAAACTGATTCGGCGCCTGTCGAGCTGCCATCTGTTTTCCTTTACCCTTGTTCCCAAACTTCCTGTCTTTCCAAGAAGTGGAACTACCAGCTACAACCTTTGTCGCCTCAGCAACCTTGGCCTTCTTGGCCTTACTCGTGCTGTAGAAATCCTCAATATTACGACATTGCTGAACCAGGGTCCCAAAGTCTCTAGAAGCAGAACCAGCAAGGTAACCAGCAATATCCTCACTAAGTCCCCTGCGGAACTTAGCAGCCAAGAATGTAGGAGTAGGCCTCGCCATCCTGAAGTGTGCAAACTTCACCAGCTGGTTGAA